AGATTTAACCTCAACCAGAATTTTCGCTCTTCCCATTTGAGTTGGGTCCAACCATGGCTTCTCAGTCAGCATCGGTTCCCCAATACCTAAAGCAATCCACTTTATTCCCAAGATTGAGTAGAGCTGATCCGGGATATTATTCAGCGTCAACCACACCGGAATAGTAGTGATTTCCGGTATAGAAATAGTTTCTGTTGGAGACCAGGGAGACACAAACATCAAGCAGTCATCAACATGCCACAAACCTCTCTGTATGACCCAATTGCGAGTTGATTCATGAGGTATATGGAAGAGATCTGTTGACTCTCCTAGCTTACGGATGAAAATTTGACACTTTCTACCCCAAATCATATATACGATTGCCTGAATTTGACCTCTAGACGGAGCAGAACATCGAGAGAATTGACCTACCACATATTCCTTTTGATTCTCAACACCACCGAGAAGAACATGACTAGGGATTCTTACCTTTGGGGTTCCATCATCCATGTATTCTGGAATGGTGACTCTATGAAGGTTTCTCGTAGATGGATTCATCTTTTCTGCCCAAGGGTAGTGTTTGGAATGAGCCTTCAGTAATGCTAATTCAGCTTCCGATTCACTTGAATCTTTTGTTATAAACTTATTAATATCAATCTAAACAAACAAACAACGATTTATTTGTCACGGCTTTGTCTTCTCCAATGTGGTAATTATCTGGTGCAGTTCTTCTTGTTCCGCTTAGCCAGAGAAACTGAAAAATTAGATTTATGATCTTGGTTTTGGAAGTGTACTTGACCTGAAAAATTAGGTTCATCGCTAACTGGAAGATAAAAATTCAAACGAATTGAAAACATTAATGAATTTACCTTCAAATTATACGCGTTGATTATCTTCTCTCGAGCTGATGTATATTGGAGGCGTATCCGTCATTTCGTTGCCTACCGAGTTTCGTCATCTTAAACGTTTATATGGATGTCTTGGACCATGTTGTTAACTTATTTTGGACACATCGATAAATATTTGGAATTGGCCAATTATTAGCTATTTACCCTTTTAATACTCCAACAACCTGAAAAGAGAATACATCTCCCTTCGAGCAAACTCCCAAACTATGCTTTTCACGTGCAACAACCTGTAGATCTCATTCCCATCAACGCCTTCTTTATAAAGGCTTCATTGAGAGTATCACTTATTTCACACTTATTATTTCACATCTTCTTCATCTATATATTCTTATCATACTTTTTATTGTTAGAAAAACACATCACCTTTAAAAGTACCAAGGCTGGTAATGGCTCTCGAGGGTGTGATCTTCCAACACGACCATTTGTACAGCTACAATGATAAAGAAGCTTACTCCAACATTTACATAGAAGATGAACCATCTTTCTATGATCTCCAAGCTTCTCTCAGCTTGTTCGACTATCAAACCGAAAACTTCCACTCGAATTTTCTCCAAGAAGACTACTATAGGAATACTACTACTACATTTCTTCATCAACCACCTCAAGAAATTGTAACTAATGAAGAAAATACTACCTCGAACCAAAACTCTTATGGTAGCCCGAACTGCGATATGAGTTACGACCCGGCAAAGGGGAAGAATCAGGCAACGCGACGCAGATCAAGGGCGAAAAAAGACGAAGAAGAAATCAATAATCAACGTATGACTCACATTGCAGTGGAGCGTAACCGGAGAAAACTGATGAATGAGCATCTCTCTGTTCTCCGCTCTCTCATGCCTGGGTCATACGTTCAAAGGGTATCTATATTTACAATCATTATATATACTAGCAAGTAGCATCTATACATAACTTTTTTACTCTTAATCATTTTAATAAATACAGAAAATTTTAGTAATTTAATATTTTTCATGATGAATCTTAGTAGATTAATAGTTAACCTTTTTTATTATAATTAATAGTACATGTATAAATTATATAGACTAACAGAAACATTATTTTTCACGTTCACTTTTATTAGATCTTCTAAAACAATTAAAATTCAATAAAGTTAATTGACATCTTAAGAAAAATATTCGGAATTTTAAGAATTTTTGGTATATAATCCCAAACTAGTCTTATTTTAAAACTATGTACTTACTTGAATATTCAAGGTAACATTAATCTTATTTTTTTATCAACAACATGCAGTATACGAATTTGGAAAGGGTAGAAACACCAGAGCAGTACCTTGTAGACTTTGCATGCATAATTATTTTTAGTAATGAGTTAAGTTTGTTATCTTTGTCATGGATTCAGTGTGACCAAGCATCAATAGTAGGAGGTGCCATAAACTTCATCAGAGAACTCGAACACCGTCTTCACCTCCTAAACTCCAATGTCCAAGTAAACGAAGGCGACAGTATCGCATCCGCCACACCTTTCTCCGACACCTTCAAGCTTCCCCAAGTTTCAATTGCTTCCTCTGTTGTCAGCGAGAACGGGGTTCTCGGGGTTAACGCATTGGCTGATATTGAAGTAAACCTCGTCGAGAGCCACGCAAGTATCAAGATAAGATCAAGAAGGAGGCCAAAGCTTCTTCTGAACATGGTCTTTGGTTTACAGAACTTAGGGTTTATCATACTTCACCTTAATGTCTCCACTGTTTCTGACTGTATCCTCTACTGTTTCTCCACTAAGGTACGGTTTCTGTTAATCCTACATCTCTATTTACCTCTAATTTTATAAGGTTACAGTAAAGAAACATACTAAAAATAGCTGTAACCAAAAAACTAGATCTATTGGTAAAATTTGTAAACCTATGTATGATTTTATTGTAAATAAAATGCTAGGCCTAGCCTTAACCTAACTGTTTTTATCTTGTCACTTATCGTCTTATTAGTTTTATAAGGTGATGATCAACAATAGATCATTATAATAAGATTCGGTTTCAAATATAGGTTTAGTTATGAAGCTAATTAATCTATGAATTCTAGACCCGTCTGGCAAAAACAGATAAACCTAACTAGATATACCATTCACATGCTATTCTTATAGTCAATGGAAACTCTGTATTTAGCCTCTACGCACATCAGAATTGTATCCGATAATGATATCTTCACCTAAATATATATATATATATATATATATATATATATATATATATATATATATATATATATATATAACTTTGTTCTTCTTGTTTACCAATAAATGATATATCACATTCTATATACGTTTATAAAATGTTATTCTATCATATCTATGCTACTATGTACCACTATAAATTTTAACTGCATATCTACATGTTTTGACTATCACTTAATTAAGATGATTACTTTATATATATTATACGTTAAAATAAATGTCTAATGAAACCAAAATCCACTCGTTAATTCAACATATTTTTGTGTGTTTATGATTTTTTTGGTAGAATAGTACTAAGCATAAACATTTTAATTGTTTGGCCATTCTACCTTTGTTTCACAAACAACTTTATCTACTATTTTTTTTCATCGGTTATAAAACAATGTACTCTATTTATCATGTGAATAAGAATTAACCAAGAACGATATATTCAAATATTTCATGCATATGACTAGGCCACAAATACGTGTTGGCACTTTTAGTAACTACATAAGATTTGAGAAGTTAGTTTAGAGTCCTTGTTTATATCCGTTTGATATATGTTGTATGTAAACTCTGTATCTTTAGTTGGATTTATGAACTGCTTTAGTTCTTAATTGGTATATATAATAGCGGTATCTTTGAAAAAGAACAAGAAATTTTGATACTTTGTAAAGTATGTATAAATGATTGGTATCTTTGGAATCCTCCATCTTCGGTTAAGATTGAAAATGTGGTTAGAAAATGATACATAAATTTGGTAATTATAAAGTTACGTCAAATATAGAAATTTAACTTTTGGATTAATCTATTTATTTTTCAACTATCTGGATTTTTAATATTGCTAATAAATAACTAATGCAGATGGAAGATTCTTGTAAGCTTACATCTGTCCCTGATATTGCTACCGCAGTGCACGAAATGCTCCGGATTCACCATGATGTTGTTCAACAGTAAACCTAAGTTAGTATATCGATTTGTAGAGTTAATGTTTGTAATTACTAGACAGCTTGAGTTTATATAACTGAAATTACATGCTTTGTCCGTCAAGTTATTTTAAATATTTGTAACATTTATAAATGCTTTTATCAACTGCAGTTTTCATACTCTGTAGTAAACATGGACTGTCAATTTTCTGTTGAGTGTTACAAAAGTTAATGGTAACACCGCTGGAGATTAATGGTCGTTGGATCTTGTTAATATTCGAAAAAAAAAAACTTAATTTTAGAATATAGATTTAGAGGAACAAAACAATAAAGAAAATCGCGTAGTCATTCTCAACCCATCTTATCTGTCACACCAATAATTCCCACCGTGATATTCAATCAAAATAGTTTGTAACAAACTTTACAAAACCAGGAATCTATGTTTTTCAATGGGCTAGAAAACCTCTTTTACGGATTTTAAATTTATTATGTGATTATTAAGTAAGTAAAATGTGCTAAAACAAATTTAAAAGCCAAGGGCTTATACGAGATTATAAGATCTAAGAGAGTTGTGTGAAGGGTTTTATAATATTCAACAATGTTAGTCTCAATTGTCAATTTATACAAGATATTAGAAGACCTTTAAGTAATTAGCAAATATAGCAAGAGTTACACACAAAGTCGAAGGAACATATTTATTGGTGGCACATGAGCTTTTCCAGAGCTGCTGAGGGAGTATGTGGTGGTGCGGTGGAAAACATATATAAAGAAGAATATGCAAGAAATGTTTCTATGAGTTGAAGTCTACATAGTTTGGAACTAGATCCAGGCCCGGCTTGGCATGCCAACGTATGTTGATTTGCATATGGACCCGTCTTATTCCTTCTTCATAGTGTCCCCCATGTATAACATACATTCTAGGTCCTTTTTTTTAACTTCAAATCATAGTATTTTAATTAAAATACTTCAGAGTTAAAAAGGTTTTGCTCATCTTCCACCAAAGGATGAAGCCAAATTAGGGTACAATAATCCAAAAAATCAAGATAAATAGGAAATTTTGACGGCTCTTTAGCTATTCAATCTGCACATTAGTTGCATTCCAGGTACTTTTTTTTTTTTACTGCAAGTACTACTTTATTCACCTCTAAAGCAGGAACCGATTACAAGGCAAATAACGTTTTTTTTTTTGCAGAGAACATATAATACAGAATAGTGAAGCAAGATAATTTGAGAAAATATCACCGGTGAAAGAACTTGAACCACGTGTACTAATATACATTTGATGTGAGCTGTTGGTTTCTCTGAGAAGAAAGTCTGTCCATTGAAAAGAGCTTGGCCTTGAGAATGATCTGAACTTCTTTTGATAGCATCGAGTGAGTCTTAACCGCAGAGGAATGCAACCGAGAGTTTCGAGAGTTTTTGCATTCTAGGTACTTTTACAACACACATTCTAGTTAATTTTAACATTAACAATAATACCTTTACGCAAACCATTAAACAACATCACACAAACATACGAAGTTGTTTCCTCATTCATATAACCATATATTTTTAGCGAGTC